ATTCTTGCAAGACCCCTTCACAGCCGACCTATCTTCCCACCTATCTCGCAGATATCAAGCATGCTATGTCGATGGTACCCTTCAGCTAGACTACCCCCGTCTTGACGACCCAATCGTGCTGAAAACCGACAGGAAGAGGCCCCTCTCACTATTACGACCCCAGCCAAGACTGTACTGCTCCTTGTCGGCCCAACCCAGTGCCTCAAAAAGACCGCATCCTTCAACCATAACCTATCTGGCCACAAACTAACGCCATCTCCCTCTTTGAAGATGTTTGAAGTGACAGTCGGCCATTTCCTGCCCTGGGAGGAGCACACTCCAGCGTTACCAGAAAGTGCAATTCTAGCATTTTCTGATTATACAAAATTCGACACCACCTCATCCCCGAAGGCCCGTAAAGTCTGGTCTAATACCGCGTCTTTCCACAGGTCATGTATTGCCTCTCAGTGTGCGGCGGGGCTGCTGTGTGTCATCTACACAGGGTGCACCAGAGTTTGACTTCGGGCCAGGGTCGTCTCGGGGGCGCGCGTTCATGACCGTATCTCGCTGATCGTGGGGCTCTGAGCTGGCGCGCTCTGTGCGGCCTAGAAACCTATCGTGACAGTGTCGGCGTGTTCGGGGCGCCAAGAAATAAGCGTGCTTCTGAGGTAATCCGCTCGTTGTTTGCCATACTTGCTGCTGCGTCACAGCGCGGAACCCAAACAAAGGTGGCAGGCATGCTGGAGCTGCTAACTCTTCGCCCGGCAATGTCGCGCCACGTGTTTTCTTTCCGCGCATCCTGGTCCTGGAACTGCTTGTCGTCGACCATCGCCGCCTTTCGAATAAGAAATGTTTCATCAAACAATGTCATTGGTTGTATTTTCATGATTGTTTTTTGCTCGACTCTGCGTTTTTCGTGTAGCTACTTAATTTACCTGTTTACCGTGTAACGTGTCTAGTATTAAAAACTTATTCAGGTCCTGGAATGAGCCTTCCAAAACTAAGTCCACTCGACTTGAAACAGCGCCATCATTTTCACGTTTCGACTGTCAGATACAATATGTTACTTGCGCCAGGGCCGCACACACGTCATCGCCTTTTTTAACCGACATCCAATTTCTTCAAAACCGGATGCATTGCGGATGTGCTTATCGATCGCCTTGTCGAAGCTATCGATCGATTAGCGAAGCGATCAGTCGTCTCATAAAAGAAACTCTCGAGCCTGCTTTCATGTATTTGTGCCCATCCCGAATGTAGTACGTAAGTACCTCTCAAAGCCTGGCGACCGTCCTAAATCTCCGGCCGCGCGCATGCCGGCTGATGACGAGCATGAGTGGACGAATCAAACAGCCCCCACGCCAAGCCTTGCATGCATACCTCCTACCGGCGCTCTTCAGCGAGTCGCCCTTTGCTCTGGGTTTGACCTTCCACCCCGACGAGTCTGTCGCGTGCTCCGCGTGGGCGAGCGCCGGCGAACACGCACCGGAAGTCAATCCCCACCCAAAGAACCGCACCGTCTTCCCTATCGGACGCAACGGTGAGGTCGCCGGATATCAATCGGAGCCGGTGCGCAGTCACCCCGCGGATCAAAGTTGCCGCCCACGCGCGAGGACGCGCCGGCGCCTCCGCCGGCGACAGCGCTAATGGGTCTGATAACGGCGATGATCTACACGAGGAAGAGCCGATAGCGTGGGTGTCGAGCGCCGATCTCGAGTTAGATGCATCTCATGGCGTGGTTGGCTTTAGTCGAACTGAAGGTGAATGGTAACTTGGAAACGAAGAACGCGCGCCACAGTAGCCTGTTTGCATTTTTTGTGTCTTGTATGGGTGTTTTGTGTGCACATATACTTATGTTTGTGCATAAACGAATGATGAATATATATATATATATATATATATATATATATATATATATATATACATATATGAATGTATATACTCTGTGTGTTTGTGTTATATGTGAACCGGCAGGACTTGACTGTGCATATCCAATCAATACCTCAAGTCCAGTGATTGCCACCGAAATTTAGCATGATGCGCCACTTTTCGGGAATGTTTGAACGCCCGCGATTTAAAAGGATGCCACAATCAGCCGGGGGTCGGCTGCTAGCTTACTAGCGAAATCAGACGCGTAAGAAGTTCCGCGGTCTTGCACAGTATTGGGAAGGTGCGAGACGCCAATCGCGCCCACGCCGTTCTTGTCCTGACTGTTGGTGGCAGCGGGCGTGCTAGTGGTGGTCCACAAAGGCGGCAGTTCTGCTCATGGTGGTCCAAGGTGGGAGAAGAAGTGTTCACTGTATGATCCGCAATGATCCGCCATGAATGGTGGTTGCCAACTGCAATATGTTTCCAAACTTTGTCCCTAAGTGCTTTACCTTATAGAAGAAAATAAAAATGATGTAAGACGTCCAGCGTCTTGTTTTTCCCCATTTTGAGGTCAAAGTTCGTATATTGAATTAACGACCTTCAATTTACCAGCAGGTGCTGGTTATACAATGCTGTAGTCCTAAACAACAACCATGTTAGGTGTCGTCAATAAAATCGCTGTTTCGCACTACAACGCACCTGCTGGTATATTGAATCTACTGGTAACTGGTATACTTACCTTTCGTTAACTCAACATCAGGACGTGGGGCTGATGAGCATTGCACATTGAGCGGATGTTGGTCTTTCAGCGGTTTCTGATTCCTGGTTCTCGCCCGCTGAGTTAACTTTCTTTTCTAACTCTTCCCACGTTCTGTCTACACAGGATCGAGAAATGCTGGCGCTGGCACTAGTTCGGGTGGCATTTTGTTTCCGTGCAACTGTGGCCACAATCACTGCCGCCACATCCGCGATTTCGTCCAAGGCACTCCTTCCCCTATGGCGAAATCCATGGAACGGGTGGGATTATATTAGCATATTCTGTGGTGTCTTCTCTGAGTTCATCAACGGGCTTCGCCTATTTATTGCTGTGGAGGCCCGCTTTCCGTTTAACAAAATTATCGATTAGCATTTAGCATTACAGCAATGGTTGAGACCCTCGACTAATGTAAAACATTGCAGGCTCTGTATATTTTCCTTTCCCTACATTTTTGTTTAATATTCCAGCAACAACGTTGTGGCCTTCATGGGACTGTTCCATACCTGTATGGGGTTTTAAACTAAGATGGCGATTCTCTAACTCACTCCCTACAGTTCATCGTCATGTTCTTTTAGCACTTCGGATCCTCTTGTTTTTGAGCTTAACGCACGCAAACTTGAGCAGCCTATTTCGCGTGGCCTATTCAAAAGTCACCCATACATGCATGGCATCATAGAAAGATCATGCGAATACCGCCATATCAACGGTTGTACTACCCTCATGGACAGAAAAGATATGTCTCCCGAATTGTTCTCAATTGCAGTGGATCCACACCGAGTCTCCCGACGATAGAAGGTGCGGTAGCCGAAGCAGTCGCTCCAAGCGTGGCGGCGTTCGTGGCCCTCATGCTGCGGACTGGCGCGGCCGGTGGCCCATTCCCCGAGGCTGACCACAGTACCCGGGGCTATGGCCTGACCAGTCGGCCAGAGAGCTGGAAATGCCGCGATGTAAAGTCACCACATTCGCCTCTACCTTTTGGAGCCAAATGCAACGAAAATGAAAAACGGAAACAGTCGGGCTTTCTTCAAATTCGCTCAGAGCGACGCAGGCTCGGGTCTTCCCGGCTATCTATGCTTACGGAGACGCAGGCGGGCTCAAGGTCAGGCTCAATCTCCCAAAATGGTAGCGGCACCGTGGGCACCACGGGCCCTGTGCCAGCCGCGCCCGTGCCGCCCGTTGGTGCAGCAGGCGGCTGCTGGCTGCTCCGCCGCAGCCGCGAGCCGCGCGCGGCTTGAGACGCTTCATGGCGCTACCGATGGGGAGGGAGACGACGATGGGGCCGTCAATCGGTGGACCGCCAGCGGCGGAATGCAGGTGATCGAAGTGCCGCCACCACACGCGCCCATCGTTCAGCCGAACGCTCACCATAGCGTCGCCGGCGAGCGCTTACGCCGCTCCACCAGGCCATCCCAGGGCCGTAGTTTCTGCCGTGCACGCTGTCGGAAATGAGAAAATGTTTAGGTTTGGGTGGAACAATCATGACCCTTTTAGGTGTCGATTCTAACGCTTACCATGCACGCGATATCAGGATGCAACAGATGCAATGGTGTCTTCAACTTGGGGCCAAACATCAGCGATGCAGAAATTACTACAGCTCGGGGTGGTATGTTGCTTCAGCCGCCAGTCTGTCACTCTCCGCTGGAGTCGATCTGCGAAAATTTTCTTCGCTGTATGTTTTTCTTCCCGTACATACCTCTCCGCAGAACCACTACTTGCCGGAAGGTTGAGTGTCATCGTGTCCATCGTGCTATGCCACACAGAAGGTCGTTCATGCCACCACTTGACTCGCACCTGTACGCGAACCCTGCTGGCTAAACAACACTGCTGGCCAGAGGTGGCCATTGTTATGGCATAAGCCTGTCCCGCACTAAGCAACCTAAGATGACCCATTGCGTCAAGGGGCCTACGCATGTAGTAGCCCCTATACACCCACAGCTAAGCCCATAGCAGTCGCTACACATACAGGGGGCCTACGCATATAATGAGCCCTATACACCCACAGCTATGCGCACAGAAGCTGCTACACATACATGGGCAGGTGCCCCTCACTGTTCGCTAAATTTGTGACGCGTGCGTGGATAGACATTGAGTTAAAATCTCCTGGCAGACACATGACAGTCAGGTGATCGACAAAAGCGACGTTGTACGACACGGAAGAAATTACGCGCGCCGACAGCGCGCTACAACCCAGCTTGTAGTAAGTTGCTTTTCTGAGTTGTGGTTTCCCGCCATTGTGAAGCTCTGCGTGCACGAACGCCCTCCGTGCGCAGGCGCAGATTATCCGAAGGACGTGTCCAGATCCAGGGCCTCGCGTTTCTTCAGGCCGGGATAGCCTTGGTAGACACCAATGACCGGCGGGAGTGGGCCGCGAGGTGGCAGCACTGACAAGAGTAGCTTCTACTGATCGATGGTACTTGTATTTTGCGAACTACTACCGAGCAATATAACATGAATTATCTGGTGATATAACACGGGGTATTATCAGACAATAAACTGATGTAGATTGCTGCACACCTGCTACGTCTCAAATGAGGGGCATATAAGCATCTTGAAGACCAGTGCGCACAAGACGAAACTGAACACGTGTCTCATCATGTCGAACCCCTTACAATCAGTGTTTTCTCGCCGCAGTGTGACAACACGTTTGTCCAGTGACTTTCAATAATGCTAAAAGTGCACGAAGCAAACGCTGGCAATACCAAGTGGCACATGTGCTTGGGGACATTGAACTTCCCACTACCCAACTGAGTCACAGTGGCGGACGACCCAATGAATCTCGTTCAAAGACATGCACACACACACACACACCGACGCGATCATCACGCCCAGGTTCGTCCCTGCACGTGGCGGTAAGACTGGTCCCAACACACACCAAACTAACTAAAGGGGGTACCCGTGGCGCTGCCGAACCAGCAGCTGGGCGGGAACACGTCACGCTACCAGACGCCAGCGGGAGGTAAACATCCGACCACCACCACCATCGCCGCCGACGCTCGCACCCTCCCCCTGCGTTTGGACTTCCATAACATGCTTATTTGGGCAGCAGCTCGCGTGAGCTGGCCCGAATCGAGCACGCGTTCGCACAGCGCACTTGTCCCGGAGGCGCCACTGTTTCACCCAGCGGCGGGCACTGCCGCCACTCACGAACGCTCTGACAGCTCCCCGTACCCAGACTTCAGCACAGGAGCGGCGGGGTCGGTGCCGATCAACCGAGCGGCCACATCGCACAGCGGTCGCAACGGGCGTGCGCGAGGCGTCGCGTCTCCTGTGAGGCGGCCCCAAACCGGCGGCCGTCCGGCGCACGCGGCGCCAAACCGCCCGCCGGCGCCTCCGACCGGCGTCGCCTCCGCCCCAGCCCCACGCCGTGTCGGGTGACCCCACCGACGCCGCACCGCCCCAGCAGCGCCCTCAGCGGGCCGCCGGTCCGTCGGAGAGCCCGCGCAGCGCTCTGTCGGCGCGCCCGGGTCCCGCTACAGAACGGTGTCGATGAGCTCGTTCAGCTCCAGGTTCCGCCAGTCGGCCGTCACGTCGTCCAGGTGGTTGTCGAAGTCCACCAGCTGGCGGTAGCTGCGGTTCTGCACCAGACAGGCCGCCGCCAGACACGTGTCGTCCGACTCCAGTGCCACGCTGCAACGCGGACACGGTCACAGCGTCGGTCTACACCGGCTACAGATCTCCTCGACGCTCAGCACTGTCCCAGCTATGCGGACGCCCGTGGCCGATCGGGAAATAGCAAACGCTGCCGTTTTAAAGGCCCGTTCTGGAGGTCGATAACTGAGATCCAGGCGATGACAGTGGATTCCTGAAACTCCAACACGCACGGAGCCCGTTCGATTATAACTGGTGCTGACCCAGAACGTTTGCTCCTCGAGAATAACTGGTCATGATATAAAAAACAAGAAACGATTAAAATTTATCCCTTCCGTCCGCCAGAACAGTATGGCCTGGCCAAGTCCAATGGTAGTGACCAATTCCTAAGCAATGTCATCCGTGGATTAACGTGCCAAACTTCTTCCGTAAGACTAGCTCTCTGCTTTTTGGGGAGGGGCGAGGGCGGGAGAAGGGTGGTATTTAAATGTGATAATAATACCCACTTATATTGGGTTTCCAGTGTTATCTTTCACTTCTCGCTCACGCGTAGGAATAATTTACATCACGGCGGTACATCGCTCGCATCTGGCATTACCTCGCTCATATAACGCCGAAAACAAGACCTCGCTGGTTCGACCCATCCCTCTAAATATCGCTTAATATTGACAGTTGTCTTACAATACTTGTCTCAAGATCAAATGTGGGCAAATTACGCACCCAGGAAACATCCTCACACAACACCACGGTCCCCGACCACTGTCCCATTGGATCATAGACCATAGTAACGTGTCACATATCACAACCAGCGTCTGACGTTTCCACACACTGGAGGGAATCCGATGCCAGCCTGACGGCGGCCTCCAGTAAACAAACCGTAGTGCTAAAATATTTTGGTAGACGCCACCCATACGACCGTGGCGGACAGCAGAGCGTGAAGGAAGGGCAAGGGAAGCATCTTCACACTGGAGGCCAATGCAAGCGCTGTACCAGCGGTCATCGCACACGCGCTCAGCCGTGACACTTTAGAGCGATAAAAGGGGGAGGGGGGTGGGGAAAAACTATATGGAAAAGCACCGCATGCCCTATACATTTCATGCCCAAATCCTACACAGTTCTGGCGATACAAAAATGCGCGCATGGTACGACGGAGGGGCTTCACGCACACACGTGACACGTCCGTACCTGGACTTGTCCCGATTCTTGATGACGATGGCCGGTGACGTCATATCGAGGCTCAGTCGCCGGTTGTCTACCTGAGAAACAGACAACAGGATGCTGAGGCAGGCAGCACGGACATGAGACAAACATGTCTTGAGAATGTCTGACACCCCAGAATCACAACGACACCACGGCAACGTCACAGTTTAGCAGAACATCTGCGCATCGAGGCATTCGTGAATGACCAATTCGTCCTGCATGTGAGCTTCTCAGAGAGACCACCTCCAGCATGACGCGTCAGCTGAACCAGGCAGACTTCCACTTACCATCGCCAAATACACTTGACCAAATCTCTCTGCGATCTTCTCACATATTCTGTTGGCCACGAAATTGGGGCTGCAAACATGGACAAACATCATGATGCCTGATGAGTTAAACCAAAACACTTGGTGAGTGCTGCCGTATGAGCTTAAAGGACAATGGTACTTGTGGTACTTGTGATACAACAAAAATGCAGTGAAACAGTGAAAAGCTACTGACAGCAGCACACCATAGGTTTTTGACCCTAACAGTTATTGTTGAAAAGTTAGATTATATGCTTCCATCAGTAAATGTGAAACACCAGTTGTTTTTATGGTGCTGCAGATGGCACGTCATGCAAAAATGTGTTTGAAAGTCCCATACAATCATACAATTGTCATCTGATACTTACTTGGTGTTCTTGTAGTGCTCATTAGCCTGGTAATATCCTGCTATCTTCAAGTCCTCACCAGTGCAGTAGCTTTCAATCTGCAGAAATAGTCAACAAGATTGGTCCTATGGATAAACAAAAATAGTCAACAAGATTAGTCTGTAACGCAAAGACAAACAGCAGACATATTAACAACACATTAATTTGGTTAAAGCATGTTTATTCCTGTCTAACATTGCAAGGTTTAACCTTAGGTATGTAACTTGCAGATATAATTTGGTTCAGTCTTAGCACTTAAATATGAAGATGGGTAGTCCATAAGTGTCATTTAAATGTGTGTCATTACACTCAAGTCATTCAATTGTTAATATGCACTACCAAATATGTACATTCAAGTGGATGCATGCCAGGCAGGAAATACAGTCTCAATTCAATAATGAATTGAGAGGCATCATTGATAGTTATGAATGTCATGCCAAGACAAAAGACCACTGTGTAATGATATCAAGAAAGACATTGCAAATTCTTGGCCATTTCTGGACATAAGATACCTCAAGAGAATAGGAAGAACTAAAATCCCATTTTAAGTATGAGGGAAGAACACTGCAGAACTTACTCCTGGACCTTACCATGTATTCCAAGCCCTTCAATATAAATGCCCCCTATTGTTCCTTAAGTGGCCAGCCTAATCACATATACATAAGCTCAACTGCCATCACAGAGCAAGAAGTCAATGCAAGAGACATCACACAAATACATGGAGAGGTAGATCATCATCATTTGTGCTACTGTAGTGTCAAGGAACATGACCAGCCACCCTTTCAGTTGAAACATCATTTTCACAGCTGAAACATAATTTTCTGGGTTGCAGCGTGACAACTCCTAACGTTCATGCATTTGTTATTGTGTCTGTGTGAGTAACTTACCATGAACTTCTTCCTCTTCTATTAGTATCTTTTGATGTGGCATAGTAAAACCCATAGTGTGTGGACTTGTCAAAATACATATCTGCATCTACCTGTGTAATGAAAATGAGCCCCAAAGGAGAACAACACACTGATGTTGTACCACCAATAGGTGCTTTCTGTAGCCCACACCTAGTGCATTAGACCATGCTGTGTTATCTATTCCCGCCAATAACGGGGGCAAAATTAAAGATAACTAGTTCTATCACTATCATTAAGTATTGGTGATTACATATGTGTTTATCATAGGGATTAAAGCTCTACAGTTCTGAACACTGATACTAGCATCTTATTAGTTGATACCCTGCATTTTGGGTCCAAACACTAACATGCTCTGAATCTGAACTCCCAGCTTTAATGCAAACCAATTCTATCTATAACAATAAGACTTTAGCCAGGAAAGAATATGCATGCAACAGGTGAGTAATGTCACTCATCAATAACAGCCATTAACTTTGTTTTCATAGCATCATTGCATCTGCCTAAATTTTGAAAATGCCCTCGCATCACCTACACAGAAACACGAGCTACACTGGGAAAAACTCAGTTGGTGCCATTCATGTGCTGGCAATATCTCAGTTTGCAAATGTTGTTAGCACAGGCAGTGATGTGTTCAGGGCAGGTCCAAACCTCTCCTAAATAATGTGGCCGAGATTAAGACAACAGCCAGGTTTTGGGGGTTAGACACTATTCACAACTACCAATCACCCAGAACAATCCAAGAATGAGGACAGCACATTAAAACACATTTTGAGTTGACTGAATATGCTACCAAACCTGACATGAAATTATCATAAACCTACCACAGATGACATTCAAAGAAAGAAATAGTATAGCTGAACAAACTATTAATGCATCACATCAATCTTTTCTTCACACCCAGACCAACCATAACATTTCATACCTGCTCCAATGCAACTTCACTCATTGGAGAGAGCCCGAGTGACAAGTGGAATAAAGGGATCGCATCTACAAAATGAATTACGTTGGAACTGTCCTGGTCTTTCTTCGAGACAAGGATGCCATTCACGGATTCATGGGGGTATTTTGCGGTGTGCATTATCACCTTACAGTAAGCCCTCATTGAAAACAGCACCTCGGACATGACTGAAGGATTATAAAAAATACTAGATAGAAATGACTGCAGGATAGCGTTGATGTACGACTATCCACCGGCTCTGCAACGTCGCGGGTACACCACGCGCAAGGCCATAATATATTGCCGCAATGGTGACGTTCGCCGTACTTCGCCACACGCACGCTATTTTTGCAACAGCCAGGGAGTTTCCATTCAAAGGATTATTTTCTGTTGCTCACGCGGCCCTCCCATAGACCTGCGGGCCTACGCCCATCGCACCCCGTTTTTGAGAGCGGAGACTGCAGAACGTTGCCGTAATTCTGCTTGCCGAGTAAAGTTGGAGCATTCGTGCAACGTTTGCGGCACGAAGGGTCGTACATAGAGCCTGTACGGTGAGATGTTCTGAGCCGGGATGTGGCTTTCAAAATGTTTCTTGACGGCGGCGATGCGAACGGGTTGTGCTTCAATGCAACCGCCTATGAAAAGTGGAGCACCCACAATCTTGAGCAGTGATTGCAACTGATACCCGCGTCGGCACACTTACGCTTCCAAGCCTATCCAAGAGTTTAGTGGTAAAGATAAAAGACTTGTTCGTGAGCGTACAAACCCAGGTATCATACGCCCAACGTCATGTATTATCGGAAAAGGAGGCTTCTAGTATCCCACCCGTAAGTCATTCTGTAAGAAGTCTACACCAGAAGAAGAAGGATCGCTGGTCACCGACGTGGGGAACGAACAAAACAAGCATCGCTCCGACTTTGTAATATTTTATCCTGGCTTGATTTGACACTCCGAATAAACCGAAGGGCGCCTGAGCGTCTCAGTGTTCCAAACGTATAGCTAACACTTGACGATAAATATCCAAGTCAGGCACGGAGTCCACAACATACAGCCTACTTTCGGTGCAGGTGATTAACGTGTGGACGAGGGTTTGGAAACCATACAGCGGAACCGTTACCTATGTCTACACACATCCCATAGACCATCACAAAAACGCGCAATTAAAACGCTTTTTTTGCATTAAGTATCCTGAAAACCAGGACCAAGCCTTCTCAACTTCACTAAACTCGCCAAACGAAACAAACATTTAGCTACAAAAGACACGAAGCCTTCAACCGAACCGCGACGACATCCGCACTAGATACCAGATTGCCACTAAGCGTCTGACGTCAGTCATATCGAGTGTGAGGTCCGCACCCCGCGCTGCAGCGAGAGAAGACGCTGTCACTGTTATTTCTCCTTCCCCGGTGAGTTGCTGAAGCCTGGTGCACATGTATCCATTGTCGGGAATGACGGTCGCCAGGAGCCGGAGCCCGCCCGCAGCGAGTGACCGCTTACAGACCGCACGTGTGATGACTTGAGCAGAGTTCCAGTCGAGTCCAGCCGCCACGAGGGCGGCCCGATTGTTGGCGCATGGGAGACGATGAGGCGACATTGTCACAGGGGTCCACGAGCGCGCGCGCTATCCGCTACACAGCCGCCGATTTACGACTACTCGCACGGTCCGCCTCGACCGCCGCGGTCTCCGCACACCCCCGGGGGACGCGGGCGCTGCAGCCACCTCACATCCTGAAGGGACGCGGGCGCCGCGGCCTCCCACATCCTGGAGGGACGCGGTGCCACCGCCTCCCCATACTCTGGAGAAAGACGCGCTTCCGCACGCCCTGGAGGGAGGCGCACGACGCAGTCTTCGCATACCCTGGAGGGAGACGCGCGCCGCGCCGGCACCGGCGGACGCTGGGCTGAGCGCGCCCGCTCGCCTCCAGCGCTCTCTCCTGACCAGCGTCCGGCGGTCGGCCGCCCCGCTAGCGTCCCGGCGACAGCAGGACGGCCCGGCGCGGCGCTGGCGGCGGCGCTGACGGACCGACGGGCGGCCCCAGTCCCGACCGGCGCCTTCAGCCGGCCTTACTGCGGCGGCAGGTGGGTCTGCACGAACTTCTTCATGTCCGCCAGCTCCTGCAACCGGTCGCGAACGGGACGCATTGTAATCAGATGCCGCCCGATTATACTCAGGGAGCCAAGACGGTTTGCCACGATACGACTAAGAACGTACCAAACGGCACATGCCGTAGCATAAGGCAGGTTTTTCACAAATTGTAAACACGTCGCGGAGAGTGGAGAAACAAAGAATGCAGGTCACAACCACATAATTTTTTCTTAGCTTAGGTCTTACACTATAGCCTCATTAATAAACAGCAAATGGACAATGGATTCTGAAACCATACAGGACGTCTACTAGGATATCACCAAACATCCTTACAAAACGTGCCACAAACACAGTTTCCATATCTCCCATCATAATACAGAGGTGAACCATATAACCACGACTCGCGCCTCCGCACCACCATCAGCATCGGTCATTTCGCGGAAACACAGCAAATCTGACGTTAGCTGGTGGAAATGAAATAAAAACCTTGCAAGCGAGGCTCACCACTGGGCAAGATGAAAACCAGCAAACTGAATCCCGCAACAAGTACCGCATTTTGCCACCTGCGCAATGGGTGTCGCAAATTTTCCCGCCACAGAGAAGCCCAGCCGCACTGACCGCGTCGCAGGAGGAGTGCATCATGCCCGGGTACGTCTTGAACTCAATCTGCGGCGCGAACTTGCGGATGGCCTGCGTTGTCATCTGGCCCCACTTGTAGGGCACCAGCGGGTCGCAGTCGCCGTGGCACTGCAGGATCGGCGCCGACCTGCCGCACGATCGACACACAGTGAGTGCGCACACCCCGAGGCTACAGCGGGCCGCAGCGGCGACGACGGCCGCAGGACGCTACCGGTCAACGTGTGCTGAGCACTTTCCACGCAATCTTTAACACCAGCAGCCCATAACTTGGCGTGCTCGCGGTGCAGGCGAGTCTTCAGACGCCACGACTGGACATCGCTCCCTGGTTGCCCGACGCCGCGCCAATGGCACAAATAACTACGTTGTGCATGCACCTACGCGTATGACACATAGAACCGTCCTTACATGTGGTGTCATAGGTAGCCGATTAGGACGGCGTCTGGCCAATGACAAGTGGCCTCAGCAGAAGCAACATATATTTTCGATGTCAACGTGACCACCATTTGCACATAACCCTTTTTCGGCGAAGACGTTGCGGCCGACCTACCGCCACTAGCTGCCCATAACCTACCTGTTCTCGGTGACAGCGCCTGGGAACTCGTCGCGCAGCGGCAGCCAGCAGCTGAGCGCCATGACACCGGCCAGCGCCTTAGGGTAGGTGAAGGCCGAGTAGAGCGCCAGCGCGCCGCCCTGGCTGAAGCCGCCCAGCACGATCCGATTGGACGGGATGCCGGCCTTGACCTCATCCTCAATCAGGCCGTGGATGGTGTCGCGGGCCGAGCGGATGCCTGCGGCAAACGGGGCGCAGACGCCGGATGAGGTGCGGCGCAGGCATGATGGTTAAAAGGCGGCTCACAGACAACTCCCAATACGACTGCAAGATGAGGCAGGAGGTAACGGCATGCACCACCGCTGTTAAACAGCTTCCACGCAGGAATTAAGCTCCCACCGTTTTGGCCTCCACCGCCCTTCATATGGTGTCTCCAGAACCAGCTGTGGCCAACTCACGAGCCAAAGCCGATAAAAGGGCGACGACCAAACCCACAAGACGACTAAAACGTGCGCCTACGGAGGCTCACCACAAAAGCTCGCAATCGATACACAGCACGCTCGCCGGCCACAGACTCCAGGCGAATGTCGCTAATGGGGCAGCTCTACATCAGCTGAGCTGACCGCCCCGAGGCCGTACAAGCGCGCGGGGATAACAGTACTCCCCGGGCAGAGACCGGCGCCGAAAGTCGATCACGCGCCGCGGAGCCGCGCCCGTGGGGTCTCCCAGCGGCGTCCGACGTGAGAGCGGCGAGTGCGAGGCCGGCCCAATCCGAACTCAAGCTGGGCATCTCCGACGATGCGACGCGGCAGGTCCGGCGCCACCAGCGGAACGGGCGAGGGGAAGGGTGTGTGCCATCCAATCATCTTCATATTTCACTGGGTTACCACTGAAAGTCGACATGACGTCCCACGCGTCTCTCGTATCATCAGCCCGCGACAGCGTCCCTAGCAACGCAATGTCGTTCCGACAAGATTGGGAGCGCCTGAGCGCTAGGAGCGATGAAGACGGTCGCTAGGGGACGGCGGCGGCGATGCGAGGAAGTCCGGAGCCAAAACGCGCGTTGCCATTCACGTGCCCCGACAAGCAGCGATCCGCTGGCTCTGCACAACCTTGAAAGGTCCGCTAGGGCGGCCCGACATGCAGCGGGAAGATCTTCAATAGAACAGGCTGATGCCTTGAGGGAGCGAATCCACTCGGTAAACAGTCCCGATGAATTGAGTGAAACACATCCCTTTGCGAATAGTCCGTGCCGTCGGGTAGAAGCTCGAGCACGCATGTCAGCTATGACCACGGAAGGGTTGGTCAGAAAAGGATTGCACCCCTTGATTTTATGGTTTTGAACGTCAGACATGCATGCTAGATGGAACACGAGATATGGCACTGCTGTTTTTTGCCCAAATGCACGCCCGGTTTGGGACCACATGAAGCTCAAGAATCGTATCACGTTTCTAACTGCAAGATTTCAAGTGACTTAAGTGAATCACCTTCAAAGTCGCACGTCTTTACCAGTGTTGGTACTGAAGCGAACGCCAATATGCAAAGCACTGCAATGCCGCATGAGTCATAGCTGTTATCAACCCCATAAATCATCTGCTGGCGCGACAATAACTGTCCAAGGTGGAACTTGGACAGTTGCTTTATATATGTTGGTATCACGCGGGGCAATTGCGTTTACCTGCAGCGTCCTCCGGTGTCTTATCGTCCAACGATCTGAGGTCGAACCACGACGGCATCCGAAAGCCCGCATTTAGCGTCACGGGCATCGTGGGCCTGAAACATGACAGCGATAGTTACAAACTAAGCTCTCAGGAGGGCTGCGACAAAGAGATAACGGCACATGAACAAAGCAACAGGACATATATTGCTACAAGTTCCTTGGAGAATTCCATTAAGGGCCACCACAAGACTGGCAAGTCAAGATTTCCAGAAGATTTGAAGTTATAGCATAATGATAGCAAAACAGATATAAAAACCTCAGTAATACTGGATTGCTGAC